TATCATCATCACAATCATTGAGCTCTAGACAATCGAAACACTCCCTAACATGCAGAACCAAATATATTTTCCTATATTCACATATGTGCTTTTAACTCTGCTAACGAAGCTATCATAATGTCAAATAAAATGTCACTGTGATCATGCCTAATTAGCATTACAAATTTGGTTGAAGAGTTAAATGGCCAGGTCCTTCAGGGTGTAAGTCAGTCCAGCTCCAGGCATTTGTGCTCAAAAGATTTACAAGGGCTAAGGATGTGTCTACAGACTACTGAAATGCAGGCCTGAAAAATACTGCATTAATGAAATGCAAATCATGTTTCAGTTGTTGAATGAACCTGCTATCATCTCAGGTGTCTCAGGCAATGAAACTGTAAAACTGCTCTAGTTGGGATACAAAAAGCAAATAAGTAGTTACAGTCTCTGCTGATGTATGGGAGCGAAACACATCAGACCATGTAAAGCTTAATATTGCATGAATGGCTTGGTCCAAAGCCCACTGAAAGTCAGTGGATAGACTGTTGTTATCTGATCTGAAGGTGATTAGTCAGAAATTAAGGATTCTACGCCTGTTTTTTACCCAGTAAAAACTGAAGTCAGTTGATCATGGCTGGTTTATAAAACAGGAGTTAATGACGTGCAATAAAAAGTTAAGCTCTCATAGACACAGAAAATGTTTTTGCTAGTGACACTATGTAAATGCAAACACATTATTAAAAATAGATCACAATTGACATTATTCAAATGAGGTTTAATTCTCTGTATAATTTGAAGAAAAATTGATGCAAGTCATATCATCTTTAATGACAGCTTAAAGACAAATTTAAACAAAGCAATTGAATTTCCATATGAGCTTTAATTGACAGTTTAACTGAAATAGTCAAACTTTACTAATTTCCAAGGTGAGGTAATGGAGTTTGCCTAAGAACTTTAATAAGGATGGATGGGCACAGTTCAATACACTGATACTATCTCATAAATCTTCTGTTCCATGACAAGTACAAAGTTATACACATCTAAACTATCAATTTAAGTTGTCAAAAGCCTTTGCTATGAAATTATGCAGTCTCAGTGATTGCTACTGAATGACTGAAAAAACAATTTTTGAAGTTTCTCATTGAAAAGCAGTAATTGTTTATTTTAAAGAAAGACAAATCAATAAAAATATGTAAAAGCATTAAGAACACTATAGTATCAAAGGATGTATACTGACATGTGGCTTCTGTGTAATTTTTTTCAGGGCCTATATGTTCAACTGCATCCTACAAATAAACCTTTCAAAATAAAATTAAGACGGTATTAAATCCAGACATCTCCAAACATCTCTACATCCTTTCCTAAAAGGATCTTCTTCTGCATATAAAACTGGTGAAGTCAACTAACCACTCACTAGATGAAGCCAGAGAGAGTTCTTGGTTGAGCTGTGAAACACCGTGGCCCATCAAGTATCCCCTTCCCTGAGACCCAGTACAAAGCAAACATTAATTCCTCCCCAGCGTCTACAGGGATGTTTGCATGGTGGGCTGAGAATTAGCTGGAAGTTTAGCAGAAGACAAACACCTAGTGACTGAATTTTATGTATATTATTGTATCAGAAAAATTCTGAAAACAGGTTTGCAGTCCCAATACACTTAATGAAGAAAAGAGACTGTGTTTGCTACTTTTTCAGGGCTGAACATTTACCTTTCAAGCACATTAACAGGGAATTTAGCAAGTAATAAATCACAGTGGTGGTAAGTGCTCACATAGATGCACCTGTGGGCTTTTGAAAGTGACAGCTGAAGCACAGGTGGTTTCACACCAAGAAGCACTTTTAAACACAGGCTCAGTCTAAGCCAGGTTATCCCCAAGCCATCTCCGTTCAGTGAAGGAGCAGTGTCTCAGTACAAGAACAGTCTGTTGCACCATATTACCACATCCAAGTATATTGCACATAGAACAGGGACGAATGCTAGAGCTCCTGAGGACTAAGCCTATAGTTGCACTGCTGTAGGAGAGTCCAGCCCAGCACCTAAGAATACCAAGTCAGGTGGAAATTGCCTTCACCTGCACTGCTGAGCAAAATTATGTCCAGTTTTCTGGCCCTGAGGCAGAGTTTCACTTTCTCTGGACTATGTGTACTTGGTGCTGTGTTTGCTCTGGGCCCAGTGTAATGCCCAGTGACCCTAAGGTGTGATTTTTACCTTTTGTGTATCTTTACCAGTTCAAAGTGTTTTAATATTGGAAGAACTGTGCTGTAGACAAGCAGAAGCAGTCTTGCATATGTGAAATTATGCATATGCACTGGATTTAGCATGAGGACATAAAGATGTTCAAAGATCTAAACCTGCTGGGTAAGATGCAGAGCCAGCTCTCATGGAGTCTTATCCATACTGCCTACTGGGAGTGATCCTCAAAATGTGCTAGGACCCAAACTGCCAGTGTATGGGATGAGAAAGCTAATTGGCATGCGCCAAACCCAGTCCAGGGACAAACTAAGCAGTACAAATGCTGAAGTTTTGTTTCCTGGGGCTGTTTGATTCAACAGTATGGACACAGCTGTTATTGCTAATTTCTATCACTCATCAGTGCATGGTTGTTTTTCTGCATCCAATAGATTTTTTGTTATACCTGCACCTATACTGTAATAGCGATAGTACTATGCTTGGGCTGTTATGCTACTGAATATACTGAAGACATTTGCTCTTCCTCATACAGGTATGGTCAGGTTGTGTGCTATCATTTATATATGCAAAATGTTCTATGTATACTGAATAACTCATTTCTTCTCCAATACTCAAATTAACTAAGCCAATAGGCTTGCAAAGTTGTGCTGATTGGAGGCAGATCATCGTGTAAAAAGTGTTCATACTTTTACTTGATCTTGGACAGAGAGGACACAAAGAAAATCCTTTCTTCTCCCTTCTGTTTGCAGTGAGAGACAAACAAGTTAATTTACCTGATCATCTCATAACCTCAGGAAAAAAGTTTGTTATGATTCAGCTTGCAGAGACTAATTTGTTCAAATCAGCTTCCCAAACCCAGATATTGTACACAATGCTTTTTTTTTTCTGAACTAATCATGTATTTTAATTAGTAGGCAATGTTTTCCAGCATAGAACTCACAGAGTCTGCACAGCTTAACTTGTTGTGTGTTCTGTAAGTTGTCCTTAATCAAAGAGTCAATCCTGTTGTGTCTTATTGGCAGTACATGATGTGCATTGATTGTGGACAGTGATCTATTTAATTAGCTTATTCATGTGTCTGTGTAAAAAAAGGCCACGGGTGCGAAAACCAAGAGATAACAAAAAGAACTGAGAGCATCTTCAATTACAGTATTCTCTTTATCAAGCTCTGAATTTAAATGATCTGCTCTGGAAAACAGATGATGAGTTCATGTAAATGCAAATTAACACAATGAAAGCTTGCTGCTTATAAATGGTGTTTAGCTCTTCAGGTTTTTTTTTCTCATTCCACCCCTTACATCTGTATTGGAGACCTCAGGGTTTTATTTTAGTAAAACTAGTGCAAATTGAGCGATTATTGTATTATTCCAAATTCAGAATGACATTTCTAAGATCCATGCAAACTGGAGCCTATAATGAACAGTAAAATAGTATTAAAATCAAAATGACAGCATTTTATACCAACTTTAAACACAGTAAAGCTTTGATCCCTCTTATATATAATACATGTTAACTACTGAAAACATGAGAGAATGAAGAACAGACTTTAAGAGTTTAGTAACTCAATGGACAGAAAGATAAAATTCAGGTACCTGTGTAGAAGATGTAATTTGAGGGGGCATGAATACAGACAAATGTTGACATTAACGTCACAACAAAGATCTCACAAACCAAAAGATGCACTGAAACAGGCATCATAATTCACATTTTTTGAACAGTCTCATGGCTGGAATCAAATGCCAGTGTAAAGTAAAATAACTTTTTTAGCTAAGCTACACTGAAGACTGTCAAGTTCTCAGCTGAAATCAAAAGTTGGAACAGTATATAATGTGCTGGCTGAAGGCCTGATAGAAACATTTTGGTAGAGCAGAGATTTATTTTGTAGCAGAATGCCAGAAATTGCTTGGATTCTTTAATTTTTTTCTTCCTTACTAAATTTGTAGATAAAATTTAACTTTATTTTTGGGACCAGGGAAGGGGGAGGAATAAAAGTAAGGGAAAAGTATTTATGGATCAAATAATAAGAAAGGAAGAAATATTTACCTTAAGAGAACAGACGAATAAGCCTCACATCCTTCCTCCTTTTCTGGAAAAGATAAAGCCAAGGGCAACGGTGTTGGGAAACGTAATGGGTTAAGTTCTGTTATACCATCAATGATGGGGAAAAAATGTGTATAGAATGTTTATTTATTGAATATTTTCCAGCTCAGAAATCACGGTCTGCATATCTTAGCCTCTTGTGTGTTCAATAACTTGTCCTTTACCAAAGAATCAATCTTCTCGTGTTTTATTGGCAGTACATGATGTGCATTGATTGTAGACTGTGATCCGTTTAATTAGGCTACTCATGTGTCTGTGTAAAAAAAGCCCCCAACTGCCAAAAAAAAAGAGATAATAAAAAGAACTGAGGGGTCTCCTTTATTTTTCTTATTGTTTACCAAGGAACTTGTCAGCATCCATTGAATTTGAACATTAACACCAGGGTTGAACCTTAACAGTAAGGGCATACCTTCTCATACCACTGTTAGGAGAGCAGGGAAATCTTTGCTTGAGAACACCAAGAAATCCAAAAGTACAAATGGCTTGAAAGAAATACAAATTCTTGGAAACAGACTCATTAGTGACTACTGAAGTTGACTCAAACTCTAGCCGAGGAAGCCCGTGAATCACAGTCCATTTAAGCTGGGTGAGTATAAGTTTCTCTGTTTCTCATACAGTTCTCTTGGTTGACAGGTGATTACTTTGAACTAAATGAGTGAATAAAAATTAAGCAAACTCATTAACTTTGGGTCCAGCATATTTCTGATCAGTTGTCTTCCATATTTTTAACTACAGAATCCCCTTCACCTGCAGATGAGTTTAGAAAACTCACTGAGTTCTGACGCTGACGTCACTTTCTCAATCCTTGCGATGAACAACTGGTTTAATTTCAGCCTGATGCTATGCCAGCAGGAGTGGAACATCACAGATTTTCTCTTCCTCACACAACAGAGCTCCAAGTTCCATCTGGGATCCATTATAAACATCACAGCAAACCTCACTTCAGCCAGTGACCTTCTGAACTACTTACAGTTTTACCTGGAGAACATCAAAGACACAACGTCTACCATGGTGATGTTTGGATGTGACATGGAAAAAACACGGAGGATTTTTGAAATAACCACCCGGTTTGGTGTGATGCCTCCAGAACTTCACTGGATTATTGGGGATTCACAGAACGTGGAAGAACTGCAGACAGAAGGTTTGCCGCTCGGTCTCATCGCTCATGGCAAGACAACACAGGCAGTCTTTGAGCATTACGTACAGGATGCAATGGAGCTGGTAGCAAGAGCTGTGGCAGCAGCCACCATGATTCAACCTGAACTAGCTCTTATTCCAAGTACAACGAATTGCATGGACACAGATGAAAGGAATATCACTTCAGGGCAGTATTTGTCAAAGTAAGTTTTTCCTTTTTTTCTTTTTTGTAGCTAATATTTGTGGTATACAAGAAAAATAATTTTCCTCCCCCTCCCCACCCTTCTCAGTAGCTTAGCTACCATGCTGTTAACCCTCCCTCATACACATATTTGTTTCAGTATTTCCTCCTGCTTCATTACTTCTGGGCAAATAATGAAACTTAAACTTAGCCACAGAGGGAGATTAAGCCAGTGGTGGAAGAAGACACTGTTCCACAGAAGCAGAGATCACATAGTAAACATAGGCTAGGTTACAGACTATGGTCTGAAAGTGTGTTGTATTTATGTTTATGCATATGAGGGAAAAGTCAGGGCTAGTGTCAAATGCTCTGAGGTTTTCAGATACCTGAGAGAATACAAAAAGCAATCAGAGAGTATAAAAGCAGATGTGTAGCCCTTGCTAGTATGCTTCCATGGAAAAGAAACAAAAAAGATGCACCTTGACCACCTCAGAAGCCACTGCTGCTGGTGAGAGCACTCAAAACTACCAAGTGCTCTCTCTCTTGCTTGGTGCGGGAGGCTTCTCTTTCAGCTTCTGCTAAAACTATTCCTGTAGACCACTGCACATCACTATACTGAAGTTATTCCCAAAACCACTTGGGGATTCATGTCTAGAAATATTCTGGTTTTTAACATATGAGAGGAAAAATTGCATGGTTCTTTTTGAAAACAAACAAAAAGGTCCTTTCTAAGTATGTGAATTCATCAGCGGGTTTACATCCAGTGACTGTTGCATGTTTTCCCCCATTACACCTGGTTTTCAGCCTACAGATTTTGTTGGATGGAGTTGGGATAAAAGTTCTTGAAGCTTTTTGTATGTTTGCAACTTTTTTTGAAATGGTATCTGAGATGTGTCTTCACAATAATGTGGTAACAGCACCGCTCAAAACACAACCATTTGAGACCCTAACAGTTCCTTAGTCAGCACTCATGCATAACTTAGGGGTCAAAACCCCCTTGTTTCCAAAGAGTGAAACAAGGCTTGGGAATAAATGCTGCACTGGCTTGCAATATCCCCACTGACTTGTGATGTTAATTTTGTCTCGTTATTCTGGGTATTTTAACTAGACCATACTTAAGTCCCTGAACAGTAAAACTCAGCGAGAGGCTTCTTAAAGTAACAAATGTTTGAGGACAGTAGTTTTACGAACAGACTTTTTGAGGGTTAAGGAAGGGACAAAGAAAAAGGAAAGCAAAATTAAAGCTCTTAAAAGTATCCTGCAAAGTATTTCTTCATCATTGCTTTGTACAGAAAACTATTAGCTCTCTCATGAGCAGTGACTGCTCTAACTTTTGTTATATTTTGGGAGACAATATTCAATTTCACATCTATGAAATTTCTTGTCCCTTCATCTCAGTAAGGATATTGTGGAAAAGAAAAAAGTATCATATGCTTAGCCTTTTTTTCCCTAGGCATCTGCCTGTGGACCTTATTAAAGACAAAATAACATTAGATAAACCCTTGTCCCGAATCACTGCAGCTGTTTTTATAGTGTATAGGTCAGACAGATACCTGATGGCCAGTACTGGTGTATTTGAGTTAGCAGCATAACTATTAACTCTGAGCGGTACCAATAATTTCTCAGGCATGAAGCACTGATGAGTGGCTTAACTGTGACCAACCTTGTCCACTGCACGAGTGCTTTTAGGCAAGTGGTACACCTCCAAAAATGAAGCTTTTATCTGATGCTTAATTGAGTGTTTACTAACGTGAGCGTTTTCCTGTCTGAATGAACCCATCTGTCTTGATAGGTAGCTTTGGAGCTGCGGTGGGCGGGGATGGAGAAGGCACAGTGGCACAGAGCTTTGCCTGCCTTAACTTGCAGTGTGTAGTTAAACAGCAGTCCCACAAGCTGCCACAGCTGACACCTGAGCTTTCATTGCCAACACTGCACTTATACATTGGCTGTGGAGGCATTTAAATGACATCCAAGAGCAGAATAACAATTGTGAACAAGACCAAGATCTGGTTCATGGCAAAGTATGCTTTTATCTGTATGGATATGGATATTGATATGGATATAGATGTACAAACCCCTGAATATTATACTGTTGTAAGTCTCCATCCTTCATTCTTCCTACAATGGGATCGATTCCTCGATCTATTCCTGCCTGATCATGGGAGCATCCTTGTTGACGGAACAAGGCATTAAAATTTCAAAGCCTCATCTTGTCTCATAGCTTTAATTAGTCTTACAGCTTTAACTCTCCTTCCTGGGTAATTTCAGCAGCCTGCTATTTGCTTGCCCATTCTCATTCTTGCCTCCAGTAAACTTTCCAAGAAAGATGTGGAATGACCAAGCCATCAAGCTTGAAAGAAAATGAAATCATTTCATTAAATCATTCTTAAAGGTACTACAAAGATATCGCTGCTGGAGTATGGTAGTACTGCTAAAGCTCTAATGAGCAGTTCTTACAACAAAGCACATGAAAAACAAATAAAGCTGAAATGAGCAAATGACACACTTTGGACTCATTGGTCAAACTGAAGTGACACTAGTAAAGCTTTGATACAGCTATCACAGGCTATCAGTGTGATCATCAGCTCACACATACTGACATAGCATCAAGGATATTCATTCAGCTGTCAGACTTGAGGATCCGGCCCTTCACGTTCTGAAATTTGTACATATCATCTTTCCATACAAATCTGTCAGTAGCCCTACTGAAAAGATATTGCTCAGATACTGCCAATGTGTCTATGCAATACTCAGCACTTGTAATTCCCAAAGACTCAACTAGAGATTGCTGGCTTAAATAATGTATTCAGATCTTCTTATCTATTTCCTAAAGTTATTGAGTAAGGGAGTTTTTTCGTGAAGTCCCTGGCATGAGTTTCACCAGGGCTGCATACAGCGTATGCAAATGATTAGCAGCCATAGCCTCTCACGTATAAAACAAAGTGTTGTTAAAATGTATCTCCCACATGGTTCCCCTCATTTGTTTTGATTAATGTCCTGTCACTACCAAAAATATAGAACATGCACATCAGCTGCAAAAGTAAGCCACTAACTTGATAAGGTAGTGAGGTCATACATTTAAATGCTACTAAATCTCTCAGGTAACAGCTTCTAACACAATTCAAGCATAGGACAGGTACAGAGGGCTCGATTCACCCTCATGGGCACACTTATTTCTGCAGTGAAAGTCAGAGAACACAGTGCATAAATTCCACTGTTCTCATCCTACCTGCAGAAAATAAATCTAATGCATTATTCCATAGCTTCATCTGCTCCCAAAGTACCCGGTCTGCAGCATTCTGATATACAAGTTGTGCTGTAGTAGCAATGTGGAGCCAAATTCATCAGAACTTTCCTAGCATATTCTATCTGAGGACTTGTCTCCCTCAATTTTGGCATTTTGTGAACTGTTAACACTATTTTCCACACTTAAACAATTTTTTCAAAATTTTACATACAAACCTATCTACACATGCAATGGTTTTACTGTTATTGCCATAGTGATGGCTTCGGCGTATATGCCCAGCAAGGCTTGTAAGGAAGAAGTTGCACAATCTTTTACAAAGACTGAGAAGGAAAGATTAAAAACCAGCTAAGTTTACGGGCACACAGACCTTTCTTTAGTGCTTAAGATTGCCTGCCCCGATAAACTTTGTCTTGATAGTAGAGTTTACATGCACAAACATGCAAGTACGCCATCAAACATGGAACACAGGGTAGGAGGAAAGGACTAGTCAAATAGTGGCAGTCACCACTGATTTATAAAGTTATAGTATCATTTAGCTAACACGAGACTAAGTGGTAAAGGATTTTAAAAATGAGAACCACAGTTATATGTCTGTCCCATGTATAAACACCTATGTGCATTTTTAGGCATAATTTTCAGGCCCAAGTTAACACATGTACCGGTCAATTGCTTTTGACAGTATTGGCTGTATCATCTTTCTCGAAACTCAACCTACTCAAAATAGACTGCATAAGAAGAACTTTGAAGCCATCTCAGAGAAGGCTGTCAGACACACAACCACACTCAAAACTATATTATTTAGTTTTGTAAATTTACCCTTTGCTGGGAACAAAAATTTACCCTTTGCTGATATGATCTTGAGACATACTCAGCCCAGAGTTTTAACTGCTGAAACTCCATCAAAAATCATGAAAAGTCATCAAAACAAAGGGTAGAGACCGGGCAGAAGTAAGCATGCACACACACTTGCTGTGGATTTATCCTTTTCAAATCAATTTAAGGTTATTTTTTATCTGCTCTAACTATTGATAAACAATTAACACTACTTAAAGTTTATGTCTTGTTTATTGAGGCTGGAATGACAGCTATAGCCTTTATACTTCTTTCAAGACTTGCTTTCATCCAATTCCCAGAACTAATGTGAGGTGTTATATTCTACTATGACAACTAGATAGTCTGTCTTCTGAATGCCTCTTATTGAAAAAATATGTGCCTGACTTAGCTTACATCATATTAACAGCAATCTAACTCAGTTGTTCTTAGTGGAATCACCATACTAAGACTTATACAGTCTTAATAGGGTCCCTCCACAGCCCCTGCAAAATGCATAGCAGCTTTCTTATTAATGGAGTGCAGTTCAGCTGGTCATGGTCTTTACATTAAAAAGGATTTTCTCCTTATAACACTTATTTCCTGCTCAGTTCCCTGCTCCTTTGTCCATGTCATTTTAGCCTTTTTGATAATGAGTTACCAGAAGCTGAATTCAACATACAGGGAGGACAACTACTAGCAAATGTTGCCACACAATACAAAGGAAATACTTAACTTTATTGTGAATATCTGGAAGAGTAAAAGCCCAGAAATCTCAATGCAAAATGTGCAGTGCAAAACTGGCACACTTCATGAGATCTGCTACAATGTCAAAATTGCACTTTTAAGAACATTACTTTTGCAGATATTTTAAGAAACTTCTTTTTTTTTTGTAAGAATTAAAACTGACTGTCCTAGGGCAACCATCTTTCACTGAGTCCCTTTCTTCATTCTGAAGTGGCTAACAGCGATTTACCAATGCCGAATTTGCTTTTTCAAATACAGATTGGTTCACTTCAGAGTGCTTGAAAGCTGTTGACAGCACTTCAGTAGCCTCTCTTATGTAAGCTAGATCTTACTGAGATTATAGGATTTTTCTTGGAAGGACATTTCATACATAATTTCCACTCTTCCATTTTCATACATATTTTTATCTAGGAAACTGACTACAGATCTGGTGAGTTCAGTTTAGAACTAATCTATGTTTCATTAATTTATGAGGCAAAGGTAACTGAAAAAATTGGTGTTCTCTCACTCATTTTTTCTAGTAAGTAAAAAGAATATCTTTCCTGAAGAGTTTTCATTTATATTAGATAATGTGTAGGAGAGCATTCCCAAGTACTTCAGTCATAAATTAAGTAAGTGGCTTGTTCATCGTGCCATAGGAAAGCTATTAATGATCCAGGTGTTCAGCAGCATCCCCAATCTATTCTCTTAAACATAAATTCATGGTCTCTGCATATGCTTTAGCACGATGACTTCAGTTGTCTGCTTCTGATTACTCTGCTTTCTCCCTCCAACAGGTTTTTAGCCAACACAACTTTTGATGGTCTCAGTGGCCACATTAAGGTGAAAGGCTCCTCCATTGTCAGCTCAGAAAACAACTTCTTCATCTGGAATCTACAGCATGACCCTGTTGGGAACCCAATGTGGACACGTCTGGGGAGCTGGCAAGAAGGCAAGATAATCATGGACTATGGGATATGGCCAGAACAGGCCCAGAGACATAAAAATCACATGCAACACCCCACCCGGCTGCACCTCAGAGTGGTAACTCTCATTGAGCATCCATTTGTCTTTACAAGAGATGTAGATGATGAAGGTCTTTGCCCAGCAGGGCAGCTGTGCCTGGATCCTTTGACCAATGATTCAGCTGTGCTGGATAACCTGTTTGAAACCCTTCAAGGAGGGAATGACACCGTTCCCATTGAGCTGAAGAAGTGCTGCTATGGCTACTGCATTGACCTGCTGGAGAAGCTAGCTGAGGATATGAATTTTGATTTTGACTTGTACATTGTTGGTGATGGAAAATATGGAGCCTGGAAGAATGGCCACTGGACAGGGCTGGTGGGAGACCTTCTTGCTGGCACAGCTCACATGGCAGTGACGTCATTTAGCATTAACACTGCCCGCAGCCAAGTGATTGATTTCACCAGCCCTTTCTTTTCAACCAGCTTGGGCATCTTGGTGAGGACCAGAGACACAGCAGCTCCTATTGGAGCCTTTATGTGGCCACTTCACTGGACTATGTGGCTGGGGATATTTGTTGCTCTCCACATCACAGCTATATTCCTCACCTTATATGAGTGGAAAAGTCCTTTTGGGATGACCCCCAAGGGAAGGAATAGGAACAAAGTGTTCTCTTTCTCCTCTGCCCTGAACGTCTGCTATGCGATCTTGTTTGGAAGAACAGCTGCCATCAAAACTCCCAAGTGCTGGACTGGAAGGTTTTTAATGAATCTCTGGGCTATTTTCTGTCTGTTTTGTTTGTCCACATACACAGCCAACCTAGCAGCTGTCATGGTAGGAGAGAAGATCTATGAAGAGCTTTCTGGAATACACGACCCAAAGGTAAAGCATGTCTGATGTTATTAACTCAGACTTTTCTTCTTCCCAGTCAAAATTCACTGCTGCATAATTTATGGTTTCTAATAAAACCAGAAAGCAATCTGTGTGCAAAACAGCAGTTGCACTACAATTAGTTACCATCTGATGGCACTTCAGTAGGGAAGTTCAGTGAGAGAGAATCTTTAAACATCCATACAAGTGTAGGGGGGGATTTCAAAGATTGAGGGTGAGGAGGAAGGTGAAGGATTTTGATGTTGCTCACTGCAGAGAAGAGAAGTGGCATCTACATGCAGATTAAGGGTTAGGTTTCAGTTTTGAAGTCCCTTTGGCTGTAGTTGTTTTGATTAATTGATTTGGGTCATCCTGAGATTGAATCAAACAAAACAACCACACAGTACAAAGACAAAACCAATGATGTTCTAGGTAGGATTTTGCAAGTATTTCACAGGCCATAACTGTGCTAACAAAAGCATTACTAGCAAAATTGCCCATGAATGCTAAATCAAATGGAGCAGAACTGAAATATTTTGAAAAATCCTACCTTCTACATCAAAACAGTGGAATTCACTTTACAAGTAGTCAGACGTTTGATTTGCACTGTTTCTGCTGGGGAACTGTCATGGGAGAAGATGAATTATGTTGTAGACAACCCATCTCCAAATAGCTCAGACTTTCTAGTACTTTTTGGTAAGGCAAGGAAAAACGTAGAAGCAGGACTGCCTCCACCCACTCTCTTCCCTACTCCCAAGGGGGGATGAAGGGATCTTCAGTTGGAATTTAAGTCCAGTCATTTTATAAGACTATTCTGATTTTGTTTGCCACTAAGTAATGATCATGAAAACGTGCAGAATGGTTCGTAAAGAGAATACATGGCTGCAGGTGATACAAGAGCAGGCATCCTCTTCACCTGACAGTCACTCTAGGGGACAGGGTGGCAACAGCAAATTTCCCTTGTTTGTTTGGGACTTTGTCCAGTGAAGGTGCAATTGTATTGTCCACAGTTTTATACGCATGACCTAACTGCTGGTACATAGCTTTGAAACCATCCACCATTAATTTGTCTCAGGTGACTGAATTGATACAACATTGTGCCACCGGAAGAAGTCATTTTAAGAACTCAAGAACTGAACATTTATTTTGCCTTCATAAATTGTATAAATAAAGGTTACATATGTCCCTCCAGACAGCAAAGGCCGAGGTCCATCTGTTGTGTTAGTAAAACCTTGCCTTCAGACTAATGACCATACAGTTTTGACTTTGTGACTACGACTTCTGACTCACCTCCTCCAACATTGTCTAGATTGTTTCTACCAAAAATATTTTAGACAAAGAACAATACTTTTTATGGTTGGCCTGAGGCACTCTAAAATTAATTTATGACTTAAAGCAAATTGCTACTAAGAATCTGACCTTCCCCTCCCAGAAAAAATATCATAAATACTGCATCAATAACTTCACCGATTTAAGCTGCAAAAGTCCAGGAATCATGCATTTGTTTTATTCAAAGCATTTTGAATAAGCAAATGAGAGTTGTCGGCTGAATTTCACCAGCTCCAGGCATCTCTCTGTTATAGTCATTGTTGTGTGAGCCATAATATTGGCTTGAAAATGAGGTTGGTCCTCTACTCTTTGCATGGGCATCACCTAATCCATCAAATCGCACCAGATTACATCCTATTTTTCTGCATAATTATTGTGACCATACATGGAGTTCCTAAGACAGGTATTGAGAAATTTCTGCAATTGCAAGAAAATGAAATTATTCTAAAGCTGCACTGTAGAGCTTGGCTGTTGAGTTACAAAATTGAGCACAGAGTATTGAAGCATATCAGGCACTGCAAACACAGGTCTTAGTCCGGAACAGAAACACTGATGACTCATGGTTAGTAACCTCAGTGATCCCATTAAATCGGTGCCATTACTGGCCCTTCCTAGACAGGCACCTCTCTGCTTCATGGACTAGATCTAAGCTTCGGAGTAGTTACCAGTTTCCAATGTGGAAAGAATAAGACAAGGTAGATTTTATGGAAGAGGATTGCCTGCCATTACATGAACTACAAAACAGTTTCATATATTTCATTCATGCATTTGCCTCCAAAGTCTTAGTCTGTAAGAGTAGTTATAATAGAAAATATACTGGTTTAACCTTTTCTCACACGGAGCCTGAGCTGTGCCTTTTCAAAGTTCTTTCTAAGACTTAAAGCTTAGGTTTAGGAAATGTTTGGGGCACAACAGTTGCAGAGGTACATGCACCACTTTTTAGTTAGTTACTTAAAGCATTTTTACATGATTTAAAGATTTTGTGGGTTTTTTTCCCAGGTCTGCTTACCTTTCTTTTCAGTGGTGGAGACTCATTTCAAAAAGAAGGCAGCAGGATGCAGAAATCTTTTTAATTTTAACATACTTTTAAACATTCTCCTGCTGCTCTCAGGATACATATGCCCTTGTACTGTGCTTTTGAAATGTATTTAAAAAACAAAGCCCAAAATAGAGAAGCAACCTTTTTGAGGTGATGTAAGACATACAATTTCTTCAGGCTGGCAGCCACAAACAGCAAATCCCATCTGAGATTGCTAACAGTCAGGAAGGAAGGCAAGTTGGGAAAAATTAAAAGGTTTTTTCCAAGATTAGAAACCTGGTATGTAAGGTCAGTATTGCCAGGAATATCTATGCTCTCTCTTCTGGTTACAAAAAAGATACAGTTAGATATAGCCTGAATAAATAGTATCTGCCTTTCTAGAAAAATTCATGTTACAACAGTGATGTTTAATTGACTAAGCAGTACAGTGTTTTAGCAGTTGCTCATTGCAGCTCAGCAAAGGAAACACGGCCCTCCTGTGTTGCTGAAGTCTCGAAGGTACAACATTTTTATCAGAAATCAAAAGAAAATGAGTTGCCGTGCGACCACTAATCACAAGCTAAAGTGGAATACAGAATTAAAGATACCTCAGTTGGACCTTTAAATGCACTAATGATGTAGAAGTAAGGAAATGTATCATCATGCTGCTGAAAGGAGGAGTGGCCAGTGAGGCAAGACAAACCAGAGTAGTAGGCAAGAAATGGGAGCCTGGAGAATTAACTTCCTGAAATATGTCTTGAATTTTGGAAACTTAGTATGTATTTTCCATGCAAGAATCTTGACAAGGGTGGGTCACTAAAGCCAAATATCTGAAGAATCCATCAAAGCTGGCTACTCCCCTTACTATGTCACATTTCAGGTGACATTACAGTAGGAGCTACAACATAGCCAGTAAGTTGCAGAAATATTAAAGCAATGTCCTGCCACCTTAAAATCTTACTCTTCTAAGAGAATGGGTGATTTTGGCCACAGCTGCCCTCTCTTCCTCATTTTCTAATCTTACACATATTAGACCATTATCTCTTGCCAGTGGAAACTGGCAAACACAGCTTTTGGGGAAGAAACTCACTTGAACATGTTCAGTTTGCTGTTTAAGCACAAAAGGGTAGCTATAGGATGAACGTGCCGTTTACCCAGATGAAAGTTGCAGCTGTGTCCTGATTCCCTCTTAGGAAGCTCTCCACAGTACATGGCAAAGAAGTTTAAAAGCTTGTTTGCAGATAGAGGAGATAGAGACAGAGGAAAAACATTGTATTTGGATCATTTTATATTGCTTTTATCCCTTCTCTCATCTGAACCCCAGAGGCTTATTTCAGTTTTTCTCCTAGTGTCACATCTTTGGATGCACAAAAAATTACAACATTCTTCTTTGTCAGAGTGCTTGGCAGACCAGGCACGTCATTGTATGAGTTGACTTCTTCACAAGGTCAGTTATTCAGCCTACAGGCATGCAAACGAGCAGCCTGCCTTTGAGCTGGTCTGATCATTTGTCCTACCTACCTGTAATGGCCTGGAAATGGCTGGCTTGATTCCTGACTTCTCCCAAACCTGCTTATCACCTTGTTTATTGTATAGCTCCTTAGCCCCTTGGTGATGACATTATACTCAGTTACAGTTGGAAAAGCCACCACCCGAAGTTTTTATCCTTGGCTGCGACCAGTGCACATTTTCACAGTGGCAAGACTAGGTTGCAATAGGTAACTCCTTAAAACAGAGCTAGAAGAACACGTAGGTATGCAGATGGGGACAGGTAAGCCTAGGACAGCTGGCCGCTGTCATCTTTTTCCTGACTGACAGGAGGTGATTACATTACAGATCTACAGCAGCGAGCTGAGTACGCTGTAATTGAGTACTGCCTCAACCTGAGACACAGGCTGAGCAGAGAAGGGCACATTGATAAGGAAGGGGCTCTGGGTACAAAAAAGAGAATTTGCTACTATTCTGCTTCAGAAGCATGTATCTTTATGGCTGTTGTCTCCTTTAGCCAGTCTCATGACAAATCCTGATATTTTATGTTTCAATTTCCAGTATGGTTTCCATAAAGCAGTACTATCTGCATGTGAGTAATCTAGGTCTCAGTGCCACAGACAGGGAAAAGAAGAAATTAGCTGCAAGTACATAGCAGTGTCAGTGCCTTCCTTTGCACAGCAAGCCTGCAACTGAGGCCCAGATCCAGTAAAACTCTTCATTATCAAATGCAAAAATAGGGTCTTGTATTACAGGATCTCCCCAGGGAGTGGTTTTTTTTAGTAGCAAGGGGACTTGAAGCAGGGACTTTGCTTTCAGGCTTCTAATGCAAGAGCACATGTTGGAGATGCACCATAAATTCAGGAACGTGTTGCATAGTTCAGATTATCTGAGGCAAAATAATTGTGGAAGCCCAGAGGACAGAAGAAACATTTCAAATATGCCAACAAGAAAGCATACAACAGCAGAAGGTGAGGACCTGGACAGATTTTCCATAAGGTCGTCCAACGCCTGGCCTTTCTTTCTGCTAAAAGTGTCATTCTTTCAACAATATAATGAGCTTTTCAGGTGCTATCTGACCATTGTCACTTCTGTGACAGCTGTCAGCTTTTCTTTGCCATCTTTAGGATACACTATGGCTGTTCATTTATTATGGTTATATTTTTACTTCTCTGGA